TAATTCAGTTTCACAGATCCAAGAGAGAAGAAGAAGAAAAGACAAAGAAAAGCTTGACCGTCGTTCTGCCACCGAACAGTGAGGCTTCTCTCCCAGGGCGCCAAAATCGAAAGCTTTAGCGAACATCACTTTCAATCTTCAGGGCCAACCAACTACTCTGACAGCAGCACCGGCACCAAAAACCACACGGTTCAGGACATCGCGCGCACAACGCACAGCGCTTCCAGCACGTCCGGATCCTGCCAGACACAACCTTTAAGACCCTAAGCTTCCCAGGCCTTCCACCTGCTTTTGATTCAAGATGGCCGTCGCGGGCCCCTGCGCCCACTCGTTCAAAATGATCAAGTCGGACAGCACTTTGATCCAATGGACCTGCAACCTCTGCCATTCTGGACCCCACTGGAGTATCTTCGAGTGCCGGTATTGCAAGCTACACACCTGCCGGCCCTGCACTCAAAACGCCTGAGGTGCAGCGTTTGTCGGCACCGTCACTGAGCACCCTAGACGACATCGACTGCGGGAAAGATGGTGCTCACCGTGAGGGGACGCAAGATGGAGGCATGCCGGCAACGTGGGGGTTTGGCATTGGATGCACTCGAGGTATGTTCACAAAGACACACTGCTGCTCACCTCGAGCAAGTCACCTCGTTCGAAATCTAGCTACATGTCAGTTGCTTCTGATGACGCAAACTCCCTTTCGTCACCACCTAGACACAAATGTCTCGCCCTATCCGATCCCCGATCTCATTACCCTCTCTTGTTTCATTACCTACGAGGTTTCCAGATGGAAATACCCGTCGGTGGACAATGCGGCACGGCAGTTGCAAACTGTGTCATCTTGTAATTGATGGATGTCACCTACTAACACAAGCCTAGGGCCCCTTTTGAGACCTTCAGACGCTGCAGGACTATATTGGTTCATCCCGACAGCGATGCACCACCAAACACGCAATACCAGGCGCATGAGCTTGAGAAATGCCCTGGCGATCGCTGACTGTAAGGATTTTTTCGGATCGGACAACATCGGATACCTCGTCGCGGGGTTCTCCCCCTTTGATTCCTTCACTTTTGGCGGCGGCCGTCGACACGAAAAAAGCCATGCAACTCTTTCCGTTTTCGATTTTTGAGTTTTTTCAATCATTCTGTTTGCAACCCTCCCCGGACGTTTTGAAGGCACGCCGATTACACCACCCAGACAGGACCAGGTCCGCCCCCCTGCCGCGACGGCAGGGTCCTCGGTCTTAACTCTGGTTTAGCTCAGTGGTGCCGAATTTCGGTGCTGCATGGCGCACGTGGGACCCTCTGGCTCAGGCACCTCTGCAGCTGGCTGCAGCTTAACGGTCCCGGCGGGGAGCGCATCCCGTCCACAGGGGGGTCTTGCCCTAGCGCCTGTGTCAACAGCTGACCCCCTGTGCGATGATGCCCTCGAGTTTCCGTACCTGGCTGAGGACGGGAATGATGCGACGGCACCTTTCCCGGTCACAATCTGGAACCAGCAGGCACTGAGCCTAAATCGGCAGGGAGGAATCATCCATCCACAGCTCGTTCGCTCGCCGACGCTCCGGCCGGTCAGTTCCTTGATTCGACCGCAAGAAGACGCACCCAGCGCCCGTTCTCCATTTCATTTCACGCTTTTGATCAATACGTAACGGAGTTTTTCGGCCGCGCAATGCCCAATACCCCTATTCTACGGCAAACAACGACCTGGTTATTTCCTTTTCTCTATTCTTTTGGGCAAACCGCCAAAGTTGGCGGGGCAGGAGCAAGTGAGGCGAGGGGGCGAGCGAGGGAGCGCGACAAATGTTGATAGTGGTACTAGCGAGACGGAACGGTTTCTTTCTCTAACAATAGATTTCGGGTCTTTTGGGAATGGTTCACGGAGCATGGCAAACAGAAGAAAAAAATGGGCTTAGATCACGTCACAACAGCACGCAAGGCTGATGGACTGGAACGGCGGTTATTTGTCAATTTCGAGTTTTCTTTCTTTTTACCTCCTGACGCAGAATATTTCTATTTCCTCACGCTACGCTCTTGTCTCTTGGTCAGTTATCATGCTGAGTATTGTTCAAGGAGTCTTTACATGACATCGAACCCCTTGCGCTTCGGTTTCGCATATGACGTTGATGCTGCCAGGTCAGAACGGTATCGCGTCCGGTTGGTCAAGCAAATCTATAGGTAGCGCTTGTCCGGGTCTGAAGAACCATGGGGCTTCTTCTACTCGAGCCATGATGCAGGAAAGACCAAGAAGGTGCCAAGCACTAATATAAAAGAACCAAAACCCTAATGTATTTCTAGCTATCATATCATGGTTGCTGCGCCCGCCTTTGTGTCATCCAGAATCTGTCATGTCATGTCACCTGTGACTCTGTGAGTCTGGGGGACGTTGGACACCTTTCGGTATGTGGGCGGGCTACCTTTTTGGGTTCGAAAGGGACGTACGTCGTTCGGATGTCGATGGAGCGCTCTACTCGGTGTCACCAATGGTCCGAGGATGCCGGTCACCGGTGAAGAACCAAATGGCGCGATGCGTGTGTGTAACCATCCCGCCTCGTCTCGCCTCGTCTCGACTCGAATTTCCTTGATTTTTCTTTAACGGGAAGAAGTCGGTGAAGAGAAATGTTGTGCGTCACGATTCGGAGATGTGATTTTATCCAAGTCTGGGATTCAATGTTGTTCAGGTTACACAAAATGTAGATCCGGGGATTTTATTTTTTTGTGGTTGTACAAGATGATTTTGTTCGGGTAGAGCATGGCGCGACCTCGGCATGGCATTGACATACATACATACATACATACATACATACATACATACATACATACATACATACATACATACATACATACATACATACATACATACATACATGCGTACAGGCACACATGGCATGGCATAGCACTGGCACTGACGACTTTGTACGACTGCAGGGCCGGCCGGTTGCCTGCATTACATATTTCTCCGAAGTGTTCCTCGGTGAAAGTCTGTCGGTCGTTTTTTTGTTGTTGGTCTTCCAAGAACGGTCCTCATCCCCTCCCCCCATCTCTTCTCATTATTATCTTGAAATTCGCAGCAGGCGAAGGTTTACGCGAAGGCTTGCGGTGGGAAAATCCTTTCGGTGTGATCACCTAGGCAGTCGGATTTAAATGTGCCCCCAGGAAAAACTTACAAGACGAGGAGGAGTGCTGCAGTTGCGTGATGAGGCAGAGTGAGAGTACATAAGAGTGGTGGTTCGTCGTTTAGACTAAGGATTGGACTAGACTAGACTAGACCACGGAGTAACCTTGGTTGGTTTACACCGACGAATTCGACGACGACGACGACGGGTGTGTGTGATGGGATTGGGCGAGTTATTGTGATGGGTGGCTTGTGATGATGATTGGTCGAGGAGCATGTAAGTAGGCGCTTTTCTGTGACGACGTATGATGGGTGTAGCAAGAAAGGTAAATGAGGCTCTGGTGTTTGGAATGGATGGGTTCACGGGGGCTAGATGTGTCGATCATTTTCGGTGAAAGATTACTAGGTATTGTTTGTCTATGCCCTTGTGTTTTTGGCTTTTCCATACACCTGATATTTCCCAGTAATGCTGCGCCATGCCTTTTTCTCATGCCGAGATGCAAATAAGACGCAGACAAGGTACCTTATGACGAGATGGTGATGAACTTTCGAGAGCACGCGGGCTGGGCAAAAAAACGCGGTAGATAACCCAACCCAAACATGTACCCAGCAGAGCGGGCAGAAAAAAAAAAGGACCATGGAATGATCGACTCGAGTGAGTTTCAACCGGCATTGGGGACGGGTGCGGATAGATACCTTACCTGCACATCACACACACACACAATCGCTGCGAAGATCGGGGGAATTATCTTAGCTATCCCCCTTCCTCAATCTTCACCCTTTCGCGCCAGCCCCCGCACCCCCTCCCCATCATCTTTCTGTCTGCCCTTCCTTCCAATGTTATGTACTTTCTCTGAACCGTTGAGGAATTCCCATCGCGCCGGCGCCCGCGCGGTACACATTATCAAATGGGAGGACCGGGGAACAAGGGGGCCAGGTTACGCGCGGGGCTGGCTGGCTAGCTGGGCCGTTGTTGCCCGCCTTGCCGGCCGGCAGGACGTGGGATACCTACCTAGACAGTAAGGAATTAGGGAAAGTTTGCTCTTGTTCTAGGGGGGGAGGTTCGCGGGAAGCCTCGCCGAATCTCTCGATGTTTTTTTTTTTTTTTTTTTTTCAGTATCGTTATGTTTATCCGCTGGGTGCCAGTTTCAGCGAGATGCACTACTATTCCCACACACCATCTTTCCCCTTTTTGTAGTTTATTAATCAATGTTGATCTGGGCATCTGGGGTATCAGAAGACGGAGCAAGCACCCTGGTGGGTATAAATTTGTTGCGTTTTCCCCGCTTTATTTTTCACGCAAGGTACTTAACGCCGAAAAGGGTGAGTGAGTGGCGCCTCTTTCTCGGGTTACACAAAGGTAACGGGCATATGAAACTTGGAATTATGATGGTGTCATTGGCAACTCCAGCCCATGAGAGAGAGGGAAGGACAGATAGATGCCTACCCCGTAGATGAGGTATCTATCGGCAAGGCCTAAGGGGTGGGAGAATTGTGGTTTGACCTGAAGGCCTTATTGTGCATGTGTCAATGGCGGTGAGGCTCTTATCTCGATCCTCATCTCGATCCTAAGAAAGGGCTCTCTCTGGGCAATGGGGAAGCCGCGGTGTTTTCTAGTTGCGTTATCGTTTTCGTGAGATCAGGAGATGATGACACGGATATTCTCACGATGCAGAGGGTGGTTCGGGATTCGAAAAGGTGGGTTTTATGCCGGGAAAAGACGAGATACGCGAGGGGGTTCAGATAGGTAACACGGCATTCTGCCCTTCCTTTTTCTTCTTCTTTACTTTCTGGCTTCTGCTTCCCACTTTCTTGCCCCCGCCCGTCCACCTGGTATGATGCCGTATGTAGCGACAACCTCACATGTGATAGCCCCCCCCCCCCTCTCGTGTGCTCGGTTTCCTTTTTCTGGTTCGTGGTGCAGCCAACGGTGCGGCCAAACGACTTGACTCCATCTAGAATGCTACCTGTTTTCCGCGGTATTTTGTCTTTTCCTTCTCTTCCCCTTTTGGACATGTGGGAATCGTGAGAAATGACATGTGTTTTGGCCGTCTTGTGAAGAAAGTTGCCTATTATAGTCTAGAGCAGGAAAAGTGGGAAACTAGAAAGATGGCTGCCCAAGTGGGGAGGGGAGAATGATGTGGATGGGAAGTGGGCTGTAACCACCAACATCAGGAAATCTGATCTGCGCATATGGACCCTTTATGCAACAGCAACGGTCTTCTTTGCGGCGGGAGCCGGTATGTCCCAGTCAAAGACTGTCCTCTCGGTGTTGCGTCGGGTGACGACGACTTGGTCGCCCACGCGGATTTGGACAGTTCCATCTCCGGCCAGAGACCCGTCTCCCACGGAAGGAACTTCAAGAAAGGCGTACCGGCCAAAGACGGGTGCGTATTTGTGACCCGGGTCGACGCGGCGGTCCTTCATCAGTGTGTTGAGGAGCTTCCCCTCGGGTCCGGGAGCTGCGCGGCCGAGGTCATAGTCGACGTTAAGAGAGGTGCAGCGACCGCAGTTGGCCGTCAGGAGGAGCTTGGCGTCAGAGGAGGCAGGGAGGGACAGCTCCGCCCAAAAGTCCTCGGCGAAGGGTGCCTCGGAGGAATCTTCTACGACAATGTTGGGGCGCATCTTGGGCATGATGGTGGATGGGGCATCCGGGTTCTGAAAGGAGGTCAGGGATGGGTAAGATAGGGAGGAATCTGATGTGATGAGGTAAGGGGCGCAGTCGGTGAAGGTGAGCCAGGCTTGTTCTTCATCTTCAGACTTGGATAGAGACGAGAGGGAGGGGAGATACGACGTGATCGATGAGAACAGAGAGGACGACTGCTGCTGCTGCTGCTGTTGCTGCTTGGAGGACGACCCTGGGGCGAGGGTGCCGAGGACACGGCGGCGTCCGGTGCCGATGTGGACCAGGATGGTGGGGAAGCCGAAGCAAGCGGAGAAGAAGGCGTCGTATGGCTCCCCCATGCGGAGTGCCTCGGCTGGACTTCCGTGAAGGTCGACGGAAATAGGTTCCAGAGACGATGTATTCGGGACGAGAGGCACCGAAAGGGTCGTATCCTGAAGGAGGTGGTGGTCGATGAGAGGCGGGGTTGGAATGTTGTACTTTACCAGAATCTCTTCGCCGCCGTCCTCGTCGGGAGAGCCGACGATCTCCTGGGAGAAGAGAGCGCACTGGGGGAAGGTGGAGAGTTGCATCTTGCGGAGGGTCGAGTCCGGGTTGACTTTGAAGAGCATGTAGGTCCTGTCGTGAAGGATGCCTTGCGGGGTGAGGGTTGCCTCGGTAAGGTGGATTGGGCGGAGAGCCTTAATGGGGTAGACGTTGAGTGCTTTGATCTTCATTTTGGTTATAGATGACCGTGTGACGCTACGATATACGAATGTGGTGGTGATGGATGGATTTAGTTGCGGCTGGAGTTGCTGACTTTCTCCCTCTCTTTCGATATGCACGGGATTAAGTCGGTGTGACGTTGTGAAGGGGTGAAGTTGATTTGGAGTTGGTTGAGAGTTTGAGCAGATCGCACGTCAGTCGGAGCTTTTTTGGGGTAAGAGGAAGGGGTAAAGGTTAATCTGATTAGGTATTCAGGTCTAGCTACGCACAAACGGAGCAAGGATGATCCTTCCCAAGGGAGAAAACAGCACATGGAACGCAGGAAAGGGAGGGCTGATGGAAGGATGCACCCACGTATCCGTAGAGTAGGAAGCCGCACCGGCCGATATCGTAGCAGTCTGGCAAAAGGTTAACTTGCCTGGGGTCATGAATGGTAAGCAGAAAAAAGTAAAGAAAAAAGAAGGGGCATATTCTGCCCGGGGAGAAATTTCGGTAAAAATACGCGATATCTGATTTGGGCTGGGCATTCTTTCTCTTTTCGGTCATTCCTTTTTGGGGGAATTGGTTTGCGCAATGTTTCGTTTCGAAGTGGTTGCTTGCTTACCTTAGGGGTATTGATGCCGTCGGGGATAACGTCGGACGTTCCGAAAATGGTTGGCTGAGAATGAGATAAGCGTGATAGCAGAGATAGCGGGGACGGGGGACTGTTGACGGAGCCAGCGCCGGTGCCTCCGGACATCGGGACTGCACCCGAAGGTTCCCCACGCCGAAGAGGGTCCCCGATTGCGGAAGAGCTGAGAGATCCGGCGCATTTTATCCACTCCTTTTCTTGGGTCGTAAGGATAGACCTGCTCAAGCTGATGAAATTGCGTGCTGGCACCTCTGATAAGATAGGACAAACATCTAAATGGCGAGCCGCGACCGGCTTGTTGATGATACAGGGGACCTTGAGAAATGAGGAAAGGTATCCCGAATAGGCGGGAGCAAAGTGTGATTAGGCAGAAACACAGCGGGATTCTGCCCGCTCCATCTCAATTAGGGATGTGATGGTAGGTAGTGGCAGGTTCCGGGAGAAAAGGGCAGGGTAGAACTCATTCCCAACAGGTGCGATGCTCCTGCAAGCTGCAAGGCCGATGATGCAGGTCGGGCGGGATTCAGGTTCGGAAGGGGTAAAGAGCGACGTCGACAAAATCAACCACTGAGCCCCGGGTGGGTCCCCCGCTTGTTCCGCACCATCTCATCCGGCGGTCGCTTACCGTCTGGCGTGTCCCGAGATCCACCGGACCCGAAGCACGGGGATAACTACGGGGCTCTTCCGAGAATGGCAACCGGGGCGTCACTCATTGGCTAAGCTTCTCCAGGCTTAGTCTGGGCACGGCGGGCGTGTTGGTGGTGGTGTGTCGCTGCCCAAAGCTGGATACCATGTTAATTGTTTCCGAATTCCGCGGAGTAAGTGAAGCTCATTCTCGCTGCCCAAAACTCCACCGCCATCTGATAGGTTCGCGTCACTTTTCTCCCTTTCATTTACAAATTTGTTAGTATCATGATCCCTAACTCTTTGCCTCCTGACTAGTGAAGAGATTACCCAGAATGGCAGCCAAATGACACGACTCATGTTTTTCCAAACGGCCACGAAATTTCCCGCGGGAACGCTAACATGGGGACCCGTCTACTAGCTTAGCTCCGGGGGAGCTTCCTCTGCCACGCTTTGCTTTTCTGCAACTTTGCTCGCATGGGGGATCGCCGACCATGAGCTGCAAGAAAGAAAAGGGGTGCCACCAAAACGCCCGTTAGCGGGGGCTGTCAAACTTGCTTCTGAACTTGTTCTAGGCCTTTTCTTGACATTGAATGGCGGGCCGGCCGCCCCTCCCCTCCCTTCCCCCTTCGGTTATATACCCAGCAAAAAAGGAAGAAAGAGAAAAGAAGGAAACGGGCGCTCGTTATATACCCAGCAAAAAAGGAAGAAAGAGAAAAGAAGGAAACGGGCGCTCGAACATCCGTGATGTGGGAGATATGATGCAGCCATGCTTGATTGGCCCATTCTCGCAATCCGCCCCGGCCGGCATGGACATGTCTAGATGGGATTTCGAGAAACCCCATTTGCCTCGGCGACATCAGCGAGATGGGGGACGAGGAAAGATGATGAAGCGAGGCGGGGGTATCAACGCCGCAACGGGGAGGAGGAAAGGCTTCCCGGAGACTACAGTACACTACTGCCAGCACTTGCTCGCATGCTCGTGCGTGAGAACACTTACCCGGAGCCAACGGCGCACTGCCGATGATAACCACTGCCATGCTGCGTAGGTCTGGAGTTCATCAACGATCAAGGGTCATCGGTCATCGGTCATCGGTCATCGGTCATCGGTCAAGGGGTGGTTGTTGATGGTGGTTATCTGTCCAACTTTTTCGGGCAATACTTACGCACGGAGTGGGAGCACTTACGGGAGCCGAAAAGTCGATGACGCCAATAACAACAACATCGGTCAGCGGACCGATCCGAAAGGGGGACGCCTCCGTGACTTGATGCTCAAACGTCTAGGCAGGATTGCCTTGGCACTGGGTGATGCTGCAAGCATGATTGGGTTGTTGGACTGTTTTGTCCTCCTTCGAGGAGCACTGGCATACACGACGGCTTGATCTTATGATCAACGCGATAATTATCGGCTTCATACTCGATGATTTAGGCAGATGTAGCTGGGAGAAAAGGGGGTGAGGCGGAAGCAACCCCCGTGGGAAAGGCTTGCGAAGCTGCGTCCACGAACCACAGCAACAGGTTCAACAAGGAGAAAGTATCCGTACTTTCTCTTATAGTATGCTTAGATTGATCCTCACGAGAACCCTGAGATATAGTTCCCTAAGATCAGATATTTGGCTGCCCGCCAACATTTTCCCAAATACCCATCTGCGGGTCAGATGCTCCGCCCTGTGCAAATTCCAACGAGGCCAGCTCCTTTGTCATAGTGGGCCAAAGGGCTTCTCGGCTGCCTCTGGCTCTCTTGTCCGATCGGCCGATAAATTGACAACTGACATGGAGCCTTCTGGGACCCATCTGTTGTTGCCGTGGTCTCGATAGCCGTTTCGTGTGGCGAATGGGTCCTGGGGATTAATCGTATTCACCTTGTGGCTTTAGGTAGATCATGGTCCCAAAACACTAAGGATACACTGGCATATACGAAAACTCTCACGGTAAATCGGCGTATAAGAAAACGTACAGAGGTCATGAAACTCAGACTGACTCAAGATTATGGCCTGATGTCTTGATGTTTGATAATGGCAGCTTTAGCATGGCAGTACAAAGACGGCTAAGATATGGTACTCTCGTGAACCCAACCCCCTTTCCCCAAACATAACCTCACCATGCTGGCCTTCCAATGGCCATGCACTTCGGCTATCCCATGGCTGACGAGGGCCCTTGTCCAGCGGCAGCCAGCGGGTTGATTTCAGAGACCATTCCAGGCTTCCAGCCAACGTGATCCTTCAAGGTACTGGCACGCCAACACCACCCCCCTACAAGAAGCCGTTTTGACTGCCCAGCGCTCTCACACCATCCCTACATCCCCACCACAAACCCCTCCCTCCTTGCCCTTCCTCCCCTGGGTCTCATGTTGCGATGCTCAGCGGCAACCGGCTGGGCCTGTCTGCCGGGCGTCCCGGGCTGGCTGCAGGATCGAAACGGGTGCTGCCCCCTTGCCAAGATTCGCGCGCTTGTGGAGTGTGGACACTGGAGAGAGCGCCATCCTGCGGGAAGTTGGAACACTGCATAATCTTTGGGGCTGCCCGGGGGATGTGTTGCCAAGAATCGACGGCGCGGTCTTGGAAGCAATCCTGGATGTGATGATGTGAAATGAGGGCGCCTGCAATGACGAGGGAAGCGGGCGATATCAGATGTCGAACCTGGTCCATTTCGTCCTTATCATCTAGACCACTATGGGGTTTTGCACATTTGGATGGAACAGGCATTTGATTGTCACTGCAGCATCCGATTTGCACCTCATGTTGGAGCAGTGGTCTAGATCATATCGATCCCAGGGTACATGCGGGCGCATCTGTGACATATAGATACTCTGGTGTTTGTATACTGGATGTATCTTTCTTTCGCGATGGAGTAGATGTCGTTGCACTGCATGGGTTATCAATGTGGTCCACCGCCCATGGCAATGTAAGCTGTAGCCTCTGAGAGTTCTCTCCTTTCTAGGGTTGCATTACGTCGTGTTTAATGTGAGTATTTGCCACGGGGTGCTGTAGTTTTCAAATGCACTAGGTGGATAGACGTAGAAGTGGAAAGTTGTAGCTAACTAGAATATCTAGCAGCGTTGCACGAATGATTGTGGCGTGATTGATATAACATATTTGCTTCTTCAGTAGTTTGATAGGTCCATTGTCATTACTAAACTTGCAGGCTAGTTGTGATGGTTTAAAGGCGTCAAAGTATAATTCTATCCGAGCCAATTGTTAGTTCTGTTGAGGCGATTGAAGTCACTGCATTCCAACGCTCGTCTATGCATGTTCGCTTGACGATGTCGCTCATTCGACATTTCTTGAAGCGTAGCATGGTATTGCACAAAGGAAACCAACCCACCATTGTCTTCTTAATGCTTAGCACCGCAAGAAATGCATCCTCGCAATGGAACGGCTGTCACATATATGTCTGTTCGTCATTTCTCTAGGCACACACAACGACGCCACAGCTGCCTGGACGAAGTCTATTCTCTACTATTAAAAATGGTTGCACATGTTCTTCATCTTCTATTTATCATAGCCTTGTTACAAGTAAGCCTTGCTATGAATTTCCGACTGTGTAGATTGTAGAGTGGCAAAACGGTCTAGGAACTGTACACCGCCGCGAACTTAGCCTCTAGATCCTTCTCGGTCAGAATCGGGAGGCCCACGAGCTCGTTATCGAGCTTGTCGTAAGAAGACTTGTATCGGCCGCTAAGTAGGGCAGCCTTGATCAGACCAAATATAGCGAACTCGTTGGTGGGGTCCTCCTGTGCAGCTTTCAGGTTCTTTTCTAACTCAGCTTCCCCGTCAAGCTCAGTTTCCTTCCACTCGGTGCCAGGCGGCGAGTACTTCTTTGCGAGCGCCAGCAGCTGCGCCTGAGAGACCTCGAACTCTTGGATCTTCAGATTGCGGTTCTTGGTTGCCTCGGGGTTCTTCAGAGCGCCCGCGACCGCCTTGCCGATGCCGGCAAGACTGGTGCTGGCGAAGCGGGCGTGGCCCCCGTTCGTCACGGCCGCCGTCTTGTTCGCGTAGTCAAAGGCGATGGGGAACTTGACAATGAGGTCGGTGAAGCCGCCGACGGAGAAGATTGTGTGCTCGATCTCACCGACCTTTTCCTTCAGATAGTTCTGCGTGTCGGTGAAGGGCTTCATCATGACGGTAAGCTCGGCCGCCGCCTTGGAGTCGGTGGTGAAGGAGCCCCAGTCGGAAGGGATGTAGCGCTTGACGCCAGCCTTGATAGCGCCGTCAATGATAGTTCTCTGGATGAAGAGACCGCCCTTGCTAAGGGTTGAGACGATGACATCCTGCCTCTTGACGGCCGTAGCGATGGTGTCGACTGAGGAGTAGTCGATCGTTTTAAAGTGCACCCCAGCAGGGAGGTCTCCTGGAGCAGACTCGGCGCGGCCGAATATTGTAACATTGAAGCCAGCGTTGGCAAGTTCAGTGGTGATTGCGCTTCCCAAGAGCCCTTTCTGTAGACCTCTTAGTATCTCGGCTGCTCTGGCTTCTGAGGCTGGGATGTAGACTTACGCCAAGGAGAGCGACGTTCTTGAAAGAGCTCATCTTCGTAATTTGGAGGGGATGATCTAAGACGTGTTCTAGATATGGTGTGCTGAGATGATTTTGTCGTCTGCTGTCGTTGTGTATTGGTCGCTTGGTGTTCGTCGCGACCCTCATGTCCTCTTATACGCACAATCACATACTCTCTCCTTCAACTTTCCGTCTGTGCGGTTGAGACTGAAAGTCCGACGGTATAGCGAAACGCCTCCGCCATAGTTACTCTTGGTCGGGTTTGCGATGCTTCTGCCGACCCGTTTGGTAATGACTCGGAACTTTGGACATCGAAGGTGCAGCATCGAAGAAGGATGAGATGGCGCAATTGTGGAGGAAGCACCTTTGTCCAGAGCTTCCGTCGACTCGGCGGATATAATTATGTCTCCGATTTGATGATAGTCTTGGGCCGCTCTGAACGCTGATTTGCGGAAAGCTGGGGTAAGCTAGTCGAGAAAGACTATAGCGGGGGATACAAACATCCCAGAAACATCCGCAGTTGTATCCGCTGTCTTTCCCGGCTACTACACAAAGGGCGGAAGCTTAATAATATCCGCCCACTTATACATCCCCCCGACTACCCACGACGACTCCCGCATGGAGCACAATGTTTGCCCATCTTTCAAGCGGAATCAAACAACACCTCCTTGCTCTGTCCAAAGTACTTCCGTAGGGCGAAGAGATCACCTAGCAAACATGACCGGTGTCGCTGAGGCTACCAGTACCGTCGAGAGCAATGCGGAGGAAGTCATCAAGAAGCGGATCTATAGTGTAAGCAACTCCGCACCTGTACCATCTAGTCGGAATCGATATGAACTGAACTAATCATAACCCATAGGCATGTGCCTATTGCAAATCACGCAAAAGACGCTGCGACGGACGAGAACCGGCCTGTGGACTCTGCACTAGATCGGGTGTACCCTGTGTGTACACTGAGCGCAGGAAGAGAGGCCCGGGGCGGAAGTCAGTGCCAAGTGCGGGTTACTCCGTCGACAATTGCTGACGTTCTACCCAGGAACAAGGTTGATTTCGAGCCAGGAGGAAAGCGACGGAGTGCCGAGGCGCCCGATGTGGCTGAAATTGGCACTCTCGGTGGCCAGTTGTCCATAGAGGATCCAAGAGGGCAATCCCAAGGGCTCGTCGATACTATACCTTCTCAGCCTGCCGAACGGCTCATAAAGGTACCGAAAAGTCTGGCGCAGAGAATCCAGAATCATGCCCCAGAACAACAGCAGCGTAATCCGGCTGATCCTGGCCCCAGCCGGCGCGAAAGGATGCCACCTTATGCTCTCCCTTTCCTCCCCAAAGATCTGTTCGGGCGGACTTCCGTGCTAGAGGGACTTCGCAACGCTCGAAATCAGATTGAGGCAACTGTAGATCGGAGGCCTTTCAGCCGAACAACATTTGCACGCTTCCCGCCCCAAGACTACATTTTGGATTTGGAAGTCACCGTCATGGAGGAAGTGCAGCTCTTCTGTCCCGCCATGACGAGAGAGACATTCTTAGGGCATACTGACAAACAATACGGGGTTCACGCCGACCAAAATGACTGTGATACTTCAGCCAGGCGAGCGATTGCAAATGCCATGTTCGGGGCCGCCATGCGGTGGAGGACCGCGAACGATTCTTTTGAGCGCTTTGGCGGCTTGAGCTGGGGATACTACAAGAATGCATATGCCATCGTCCCTGAACTCCTTCTCCAGGGGACAAACGTGTTGGCCTGCGAGGCCTTGCTGGCTATAGCCACGTTCTCGTTGCAGACGGCCGATGCGCGCACGACAGCTCAGCTGGCTTCTGCGGCGGCCCGGACCGCGCAGATCATCGGGTTGCACAGGAGGGAAACCTACGCCAACCTCGATGCCACCGAGTCGGCGCGACGTAGGCGGGTATTTTGGGCAACACATATACTTAACACGGACATGATGGCAAAGTATGGCCTATCTCACCCCTTTGCTCACGACGATGTCACCGTTGAGCTTCCAGATAAAGATGCGACCGTTTTTGATGGCATCTCGCACTCGCCGTGCCTCCTTAACAGCATGGCACAACTATCAAGGACGCAAGTCACACTGCATGGAAAGTTTTCTCTACACAATCTCCAGCTGCAGTCAGGTACGGAACATCACATGATGATGATACTGTCTAATTGTGAGTTGGAAGAGTGGAAGTGCTCGCTCCCGCAAGAATCGAGGCCGGATCCCTCCACCCCCTCGACGACAGGAGCGCTGGACATGCACACCGCCCTGTTGCATTTCATCTATTTCAGCACTTTGATTAAGACCAACATCAATCTGGCGCGGCTCAAGAATGCGACGAGCGTACAGCCGTCGTGCTCGCTGTACTCAGACTGGGTGAATAGGGGAGCCTTTCCCAGCATAGAGCAGTCACACTCCAAGTGTACGTCAGCGGCTCGGGCAATCATCGATCTTCTACGGGTGATGCCACCTCAACCTTATGTGAACATATGGTTAGTTTCGAAAATCCTTGATTTCCTGTATAACTTACTAACACTTCTGACAGGGTTCTTCTCGGCTATCCCATCATGGCCAGCTTGATCCTCTTATGGTCAGCACTCGAGGAACCCACAGGATCAGAGGCCCATCTCAATGTCAGGGTCATGGGCCAATTTATCCAATTCCTAGCAGGATTGAAGGAAGAAGGATGTGATCTGAACAATGTGCTGGACGGCTGTTCCAAGATCTACAAAATTGCCAAATACGTCGTCCATACGCAGAGAGCCATGAGAGTGACGGCACCTTTGGAGGAAGACAATGATGTCAAGGAACAACTCGAGGTGAGATCAGATCTGACAAACTCCTTTTCTTCTGTTTGAGAGTACGACCTTAATGACTCACGCAACTACTAGGCTCTTCGCTTGAAGCTTTCTGGAGTAACGGACTGGATGCATCTTGCCCAGGGTCTACTGAGCAACATGCCTCTGCTATGCACACAAGCAAGAGACATCTTTGCGGATGTACTTGGAATGGAGCAGACACACCCTGACTACGGACCGTTTGCCCCTGAGCTGCTGATGCCACATAAACACAACGTCTTTTTTAGTTCTTGAAATGACTTATTACCTGTAGAATGAAACATATAGAAATGATACCCCATAATCTAGCTTATAACAATGCTATCAGAGCAACAAGAGAAGCCACGGTCACAGCAGCTGCCACTCGTGCAAGTTCGGCCGAACTCGATGCACCAGAGGGGCTCGCCGTGGCCGAAGCCGAGGGTGTGGATGAGGCACCACCGCCGCCATTGCCTCCGGTCCCGGCGCCGCTGCTCCCGCCACTTCCTCCGCCGCTAGCACCACCCGTACTCGTCTGACTGCTCCAATACGTCTGATTCCACTCCGCAAACGACAGGCTCGAGTTGAGTCTCAGCTTGGGATCGAGATCGTCCGCCGTGATGGTACGATTGGCAACCTGCCCGTTCCAACAATGGCGGCGGAAGCACTCCTGACACTGCTCCGGCAGTTCGACACCGGCCCTGATCAGACTTCCACGGATCGTCGCGCAAGCGAGGCAGGCGGGCCACGCTGCATCCACCGTACCGTTGCCGTAGGTCGCAAGGTTAAAGGCGTTGTCGACGGTGAGGTCGAACTCGTTGTCCGTGAAGGAGGACTTGAAGAAGGAAAAGTTGCTGTAGCCGGACCACGGCGAGTTGGGCAGGTAGAGCACCAGCGGCGTAGGCGGCGACGTGGCGGCGTCGCAGCCGAAGAAGGTGGGCTGCTTGGTCAGGTTTTGCGTCACCAGCGTCGCGACGTCGGGGATGCGCGGGAAGGGGATGTTGCCCTGGGCCGCTGACTGCGCCGTGTTGACGAGGTTGGTGCCGTTGACCCAGTTGTACTGCGCGTCCGAGGAGGCCTCGTAGACGATGACCAGGTCGACCTGGCGCTCGGGAATGATGAGGGGCCGGATGGGGTTCGTCTCCCCGCCGAGGCTGCCGTCGACGAGGAGGAGCTCGTCGATCCCTTGCATTGCGGGGTTGTAGTCCTCAAAGGGGTTCGGGTAGGTGGCCCACAGAGACTCGTTGAATGTCTGGTTGAAGGACTCGGCCGTCTGGTTGACGAGGATCACACGGCCGTCGTCTTCGAACTGAGGGGGAGGCACGATGACCGAGGTGTTTGGCGGGCCTGTTTCGAGCGCCCGCTTGGCAAAGATTGGAGTGTCGTACCAGTCGTCGATGAACCACGCGTCAAAAGCGTCGGCTGTAGACCCCTGGATGAAGGTGAACTTGTCGAACCCCTGAACGCATTCACTGCTGTTCTGGGCCGTGCCGTTGGACATGGAGGTTCCCAGGTACATTGTCGGCATGAAAGCCTGGATTCTACCGCCTCGCCAGCTTCCGAACTCAAAGGGCGTCACTTCGTAGGAAGTCAGATTGAATCCGTTGGTGTTGTTTCTTCCAGGCCACGTGATGCCACCGATTGTGGGTGACTGTCCGGGGATGACCTCAGAGAGAGCTATGATGGGCATTGGGGCTTCGCCTGAAGAGAAGACGGTTCCTGATTGGGCAAGGTCAGAGTAGTTGCCATGAGTACGGTTCTCTGGGAGATAGGTTGCCCAGAACTGGCCAAAGGCGTCGGCGACGGAGACAGGAAGTCCTGTCTCTGCCTTTGCGCCAACGTTTTCAAAGATATCTGTCAGATAGGTGGTGATGTTGCCGTTCGGGCCCAGGGTGTAGTCGACAGTGAAGTTGATTTGTTTCCTTAGAGCACTTATGGATATGAAATCGTTGGCAGCTCTGCGAAAAATGTGAGCACTCTACATTCATTGGACAGGGAGAGACGCAGTAAGATAGAGAAAGGCCGGCTGAACTTACAATGTGCTCACGGTCAAGGCACCCCCGCCACTTAGACCAGTGATGTATGACAGGACCTGCGTCAAACCACCCGTGCGAGCAGCAACGGCAGCCGGATTGCGGACATCAAAAGCCTGCCATATCCCAAGACCTCCAACACCCGACTGAGTGCCTCCTCCGGAGACGGAGAGACCAACGACGGGATAGTTGGAGGTATTGAGACGCTGAATGTAGCCCTGGACATCGAATCCAGAAATATTCGCCAATGTGAGGTAAGAGCTGAGCGCGGGAATGACCTTTTCGCCGCGGGTTACCCTCCAAGATGATTCCGAGCGCGAGAGTCCCTTGCAGATAAAAGTCAACGGCTATGCTTGAAGTTCAAGGGGGGCAAACCCTCCAGTTACCTCTGAAGCTGACCGCACTGCCAAGCCGGAGGGACAGCTTGTGTAGACGGGCGCAAAGGGGTCGACGTCTCCCTGTCCCTGAGCAGCGGCTAAGCTGGCCAAGAGGAGGACGCCGCCGAGAGATTGGCGATTTATCACGGGCATGGTGTACTTTGCTTCCTGAGCTATCAGGACACAGGTCAGATATGACGAGCCGAAAGCTGCTCGAGCTCTATCGTGATAAGGTAGGCAAAGCTTGCTTTATCTACCAGCTACCAAACACCAGTGATTCAGAAGCGAGACGAGTAAGTGTTTCTACGAGACAAAGTTGTTCCATTTGCGGGGACCGCCTGATCGAACCTCGTCGATGAAGTCGGGGTCGATGCTTCGGGACAAGAGGACGACGACAAGGCGTCTTCAAGTCCCTATACTACACGACAGGTGGCTCACTAGCACAGCACCTACTGGGACCAGAGATGCAGACGGGCTTGACGGGCTAAAGCTTGTTCCTGTTAAAGCACAAGGCTATTTCCCTAGGTCTGACTTACAACCACGCCAGTCCAATGAGGTCATTGAGGCCGGCCGCATTCGGCTCAAGCTATGCATGCCAATTCACGGTCCAAAAACGCAAACGCGCTTCCCGCAAGCCCCTGTCTTAGTTCTTCTCGGATGAGATCCGGGACTCTGGGAACGCTAGTAGAAAGGTGGGATTCTAAATCTTGTTGCGTACCTGCGAATTCCTACATGTCTTTTCGATGTAAAGGATGAGCCGACAGATTTTGCAAAATTTGACAAGACGCGCTCGAAGAGACGTCAGCTGATGTGAAGAGCATACCAAGGCCGACCACTCCTCTCTAAGAGGTGCTCTGCAGTCTGGCTTCAAGGTCTTGTAGTTTTCTCTTCTGGCAAGCTTCCAGGCAGGACAAGGAAAGGTGCTGGAAAAGTAAGTGATAGACACTTGCACCGAAAGCGGCAATGGCTGAGACTGGTTGGCTGCATCAACAACAGCCAGATGAAATCTCGCTACTTTCGGTGTAAGTCGATAAGCTCTCTGGCTGAAAGCCAGGTCTGATCCGCCTGAATTGGATCAAGAGGCTCTTGATAGGCCTACTGGTGATTTGCCTGACCTAGCTTGGTAGCTTCGGATGACAACCTAAGTCAGGTCCCGAAAGCGCAGAGCCTGTCTCCTCCTGTTGAGTCTCAATTATTGTACCTTAATTTGGGCCAAACGTCGAGGATTCCCCTATGCAATTATAGACCGAAGCCTCGAGGTCTGCTCAAGTGGACTTAAATACTCGAATCATGCAGAAAGTCTTGACTCGCCAATCGTTCCACAGCGTCTTACCCGACTGTGTGTTTCTGCATTTCTTGTCTTGCATGAAAGCGGCACACTTGGCCTTTGGAAAGTAATTCATAAGACCCACTTTCATTTGCAAGAGACTCCGTTTTCCAAGTCTGCGGGCACCACTCCACCTCGCTTCGATCCATAGACCTGTTTCCCGGCTGCATCGTCAACACCGCCTCTCCAGTTCGAGATCCGGAACGACACAACATGGCCCTCTGGCGCAACGGTAGCGCGTTCGACTCCAGATCGAAAGGTTATCCGTTCAAATCGGGTGGGGGTCACTCTTTTTGCGCTTTCTGTGAAGCTATCGTGAGATTTGTTTTGGTTGTGGTGGTGTTTTGGTGATGTTGCACAGGAACTCGGTTTTTGGGGGTTTTGTGGGAGAAATTAGGGTTTGTGATGGAGGCATTGACCAGAACGCTCTACAGGATAATGTTATCTCAAGACTTCATCAACTTGAGAAGGATGGTGACTGGTATGTTGTGAGCTGAAATTCGGTTGTGCTTTAGTCTCCAGAACTCAGTTTTCGCATCATGAATTATCGCCGGCGCCCCAGTTGGCACGTTTTATATCTTCTTGCATTTAATACACCGGAAGGATGTTGATGAGCAATGGCTCAATGCCTTTGAACATCGATCGCAGGGAGACAATTGGTGCTAAAACAATTACACCATGAGTAATAGAATGAAACCGAACATGCGTGGCCTTTTGCCAAACGTTCATCTATCTCACACCTCTACATCTATTCTCTACACCAGCTCTTTTCTTTTCTCTTACTTCTTCTTTGTCTACACCTCTATCGCGTCTCACCTCCTCTAGTTGAAGTTCTCCCGAAACGCCGCCAACGCAACGCCCTTTTCCCGCAACACGGCCTTGGCATCCCCATTGACCCCCTCCACCGGCCCCCGCTCAAACGTGAAGACCTCCTTCACGCCCAGGCTCTCGAGGTAGTTGACGTTGCGCTTGTAATTCGTCGCGACCTGTGCGATGCCGTGGCTGTCGTCTGAAAATGTGAAGCGTCCGCCCATCGCCAACCATGCCTGTTATGCGGAGTTAGTCGCAAAAGTCAATGACTAGATCCCGAGATTTCTTTCGATCTTTGGAGAGAAAAATATGGGGGATGGGTAACTCACCTCTGCAATAGGCCGACACGGATAAGGCTCATCAAGACCCTTCCTCAACGCACTGCTATTGCACTCCAACAAGCCCCCATACCCCTTGACGACCTCCAGATTCCTCACAATCTTCTCCCACACCCCCTTCCACTGCCTCACGTCCCTCCCCGGGTCCTCGCTCATGAGCCTCACGAGGTCAAAGTGGCCCACCACGCGCGGCTCCAGCGCCGTCAGCATCTCGTGCTGCTGGTCGTAGTACCGCGCGTACATGCTCTCCTCGTCGGGGCCGGCCGACTTCATGGCCTCGACGTACATGTCCCGGCTGTAGTCGATGGGGATGGCGTTGACGTGGTGCAGCGACCCGATGAAGTAGTCCACCGCCGGGTGGGACGCGAGGGACTTGATGAACGGCCCGTAGGCCGGGCGGTACCACTCCCCCTCGAAGCCGATGAGGAGGTCGATCTGCGGGGCGTACTTTTCGCGCAGGCGCTGGGCCTCGGCGAGGTAGGCTTCGTGGCGGGGGGCGAGGATGGAGAGGGCTGTTTGGGGGTCTCCTTCTTCGAGCTGGTGAACGATTTGTCAGGAACTCAGTTTCTCATGAGAGCTATGTTCGGGGTATGCGTGATGAGACTGAAGTGTGTTCTTACCTCTTCAGGGTAGAGGTCCCCGATCTCTAGACGGGGCATGTGTTCCGTCAGACCCATGGTCTTGTACCCGATGCTGATGGCATGCTGGATGATGGCCTCGAGCTGGTCCTTTGCGTGGCCGGGGCAGAATTGCCCCGAGTGAGAGTGCATCGTGAACGCCATGGTGAATCGGTGAGTTGTGCGTGTGTGTATTGGGCTGGTCTAAGTGAAAGAAAGTGAGGTGAGATGAGATGAGACGAACTCGAGATGAGTCAGGTTCCCGACGCTGGCCAAGTTCGCAAAGCGCTGGCTGGTGACGTAGTTTGAGAGACAGTAAGAGAAAATTCCAACTAAGCTGGGCCACGCTTCACAAATTGAATGAGCGGTGAGATACAGAATCTACAAAAATGTCTGAAGATGAGATGCTATACCAGCCGAGTATGTGTAACAGGACTCGAGTATCTCCGATTACTTCAAGATAAGAACCCGGTCAATCGGCCGACTTAGTCTGGGATGCGTAAAACATGCGCTGTAATGGGTTCCCCACCAAAGAAAAATTTCGGGGCCCGACGGGTAGCCGCAGCAAATCGCTGACGCTGATCCATCCACGTTGACGCGCATAATCCCGCTACTGTGTATATCGAGTCTCGTGTGCCAAGGCTTTTGGCCGCGTCCGCGGACGCCCACGAGGTTACATGGGATCTCGGTTCCATGTCACGTTTATAGGCATTTCGGCCAATCATGGCTCTAGGTTGACAACGTCTCCAATGGCTTCAACGGCAGTATCGAAGTACGTGATTAGTACAAGAAAAGAGTGCTATAGTATTTATAGAGGAACCAGAGGATCAAGAAGAAAGGGAATAACTCGGACAAGAGGGTATCAAGACGGCGAACTCCAAGTATACGGCTCAAAAAGCCAGATCCGCAGAAAACAAAGTTCTATACTTGGAGAAAAGCGTTGGGCAGAGGAGACAAAATAAACAAATGACTTTTCAAAGACTGTGACGGCCCAAATCTGTGTCAGTGCTTCCACTCCCAACTTCTCGGTCTGTGGCACAGCGCACTATTGCCTCTGCGGAGTTTCCGGGATATCCCAAACCGACTTTGCCGGCTCCTCCGGCTCCTCCGGATCGGCCTTAACTGCCGGCTCTTGCTCGACCTCAGACGGGGCGCTCATTCCCGACGGCGCAAAGGGGATCGCAGACGTGGAGGTGAAGACTGGAAGATCGGCACGCATCATCTTTACCGGAGACTTCTTCATGGGCGACGGTTTGGCTGAAGACAGCTTGGCTGGCGATGGCTTAGACGGCGAGGCTTTGACAGGCGTGTTGGTGTTGGGCGGCATCCACTTCAGGGGTTCTGACGGCGTTACGGACACAGGTGGAGGGCCCTCTGGTTGGTAGTTGATGAAAACATCCGATGAGGGTGTTGCTACGGTTGGCGACATCGCGGCGGGTGAGCTGGCGGGGAGCTCTACTGAACGAGGATCAGGGGTGGCGACGAGAGGCATTTGCTCCGTCACTGGAGTTGAGACTTCAGGCCGGCCTTCTGGGACGGCAGGCGGTGACGGGTCTTCAAAAACCGGAGGCTGCGTTGGCGGTGTAGCGAAAGCCTCGTCTTGCGGAGGTGTGACGATCGGAGGTGCCACCGGCGAGTAAGCCGTCTGTGCTTCTTCAAAGGGGAAATCCGTCTTTGCTTCCTCGGCTGTGGGGGGTGTGGCAGCTTTGGCTTGAGCGGCTTGAGCTGCTTGTGCTGCCTTTGCACGCTCTTCTTTCTGTGTTTTCGTGATTAAGTTGATCTTGACCTTCTTCATACCGGCAGTCAACTTGTCCATATCGTCCTCCGATGCAGCAGCTGGGCTCGGCTTTCTTTGAGGCGGCTGAGATGGTCCAGCCTGCTGAGGAGGAGAGGGTTTCGCCGTTACGGCAGGCTTCTTCACAATCCTGGTGGTTTTTGGGGCTTCCTTCTTGACTGTTGGAGCTCTTGTCTTCTTAACATTCAAAGACGTAGCGCTCTGAGTTCTGACACTCATCGCAGTGTCTGGTCGCACACTCATAGAAGTGTCGGGACGCTGAGCTGAAACTCCGTTGCTCTCGAACTCTGTGTTAGGAGCATTCGAAGCCATAGTAGACACACCACTAAGGCGTCGACCAGGTCGCTTAGCTGCTCCATTTGTGTCAGAGGGTATGCCTCGGGCCGTTGCCTAGTGTTATCGTCAGTTTGAGTCTATTTGTGATACTACGAGGAGTGACAAACCTTCTCAGATGATAGCGCAGCAGGGCCCGCGACCGTTCTTCGCCGATTCTTGGACTGTCTGTCATCATCTTCGTCTGCATCAACGTATAAGCCAGGCTTCGCTGGCTTCCGCTCTCTCAGAGACATTCGCGAGGTAGGCCTGCTTGCTGGCTTCGGAGCGGGCGCGGGAGCAGGCGCCGGCGGCACAAGATCAGGGTTCAGAATCGACTGCCGGTCTCTCCGAGCCCTTGTAGCCTCCGCATTTAGGTCTTCAGGTTTGCAGCTATCGACTTGGCGATCCGACGGAATGAGTAGCCTGCTCAGCTCATGGGCTGCTATGGTCCATGGCACATCAGGGGGAGGTGGTGTTGCTGGTCGCGAATATGGCATCCCATTCGACAAGCCGGACGCCATTCGTCTCATCCTTGCCGGATCTATGGACTTACCAATCGACGCCTGTGTGGGAGTTGAGTATGTCGGCGGAGTTGAGTGCCGTATCATCTTGGGACTGGCTGGTCTGTTGCCCATCGCAACTTCTAGCTCGTCGAGTTCGGAGCTCGACCACCATGACGGTTTGTAAGGATGTAGAGATGGCTCGCCATTGATGGCTGCAGCGGCCTGCCCTGCCATTTCGTCGCCGAGCGAAGAGCGACCCCGAGTGGGCTCTTCCGGGGTCTGATTTCCTGAGAGTCCGCTCAGATGGCTGAAAATACCAGAGTAAAGAGCTCTGTCGCTGTAGCCGCCCTCGAGCACGCTGATTACGCGCCCGTCAACTCCCAGTCCTTCCTCTGCGGCAAGCTTCACAACATCTTGAGCAATACGAGCGTAAAACTCGGTAGGAACGTTCACATTATGACGTTGCATACCCTTGGTCTCCCACTCACTAGCATCGAATCCGGCCGAGAAGAAGATTGCCGCTTTGGGAGGCAGATTCAAAGCGCGAAGGCGAGCCGCTTGGTTTTTCAGATACTTGCGCGTCTTCTCCAGGATTACTGAGTACCTGGTCTCGTATAGCTCCCAGAACTCCTTCTCTGAACCATATGATTCCAGGTGGACGTTGTAGATGTTTTGGCCGTGGGCATTGTCAATACACAGACTGGCGTTCTTGACCTTCTCCTCATCACCCCACTCACAGGGGTACGAGTTGATGTCGTGAAGACTAAAGTAGCCGATGGATGCCTTTTTCCACGCTGCCGTGTTCTTGGCCGCATTTACTCCCCGTGAGTTATGCGCCCAAGTGATGGCTTGAGAGCCATCTCCGTGGTGAAGATCGAAATCGATGATAGCCGCATGGGTAAGGCCATGGTTGAGAATGCCATGCATGATACCGACATGGACGTTATTAACCCAGCAAAACCCTGACGGGAAAGAAGCTGAGCAATGATGTCCCGGTGGGCGTACAGCGACAAAGGCTCGTCGAGGACCTGATGTGAAAACTCGGTCTACGGCCTCGCAAACGGCACCCAGAGCGCCCTCAAAAGCCTCGAGCGATTCGGAGCAAAGATAGAGGTCACCCTCGTGGAATTTCGCAGGCGGTCCGTCTGAACCTCTGTTTAATTCTGGCCTCTGAAGCTCCTTCCCACCAGTCGCCAACTTTATCTCTGCTCCTTCGCACATCATCTTGAGCTCCTCCATCCACTTGGTGCCGTGGACGTTGGTGACAGCTGCCGATGTCAGGGGCAGTCTCCGTTCGGTCTTGTAGATGCGAAACGGAATCGTCGGGATGGTAGACGGATCCAGACTTGGATGGAGCGCATATGCGCCATCGCAGTGCCGTTCACCGAGCCGCACGTAGGCCATGGCAACTCCCAACACGCCGGCCTTGATTCTCTCAGGCCGCTCAACGATGGTGCTGAGAGCGCCCTTGGACGTCTTGGGTCGAGAGAAACGGTGGCCGTAGCAGGCATCGTGGAGAATGACGAGGGTTTCGGTTGCTCGAGTCGAAGTTGGCGAGTGGTGAACCTCCAATTCGGTCTTGAAGTAATCGCGGGCAACCGTATTCGCTGTGAGCGCAGGCTTGATATACTCAGGGGGGCTCGGGCGCAAAGGGGATTTGGCGACAGGAGAAGAGGCATGCACCATGCTAGTTCGCCTCGAAGGCGCTCGGCTAGGAGTTCGGCTCGAAGAGCCACTCACAGAGTGCAAGGAACTGGTGGAGGTCTTGCGCTGAAGTGTTGGCGTTGAAGATCGCTGCAGCGTCGGCGTCGAAGATCGGGAGCGGGAGAGCTCTCTCGCAAAGGAGGGACTTCGAGACGGGGCTCGTGGACTTGGTGCCGGAGATGTTCGATTTACGGCCGGTCTCATGGGAGACAGAGCGCTCGAAGCCCGGGGTGAGTTGCTGGCGGATGATGTTGAAAGGGAGAGCTGCTTGAGCGAATGCGCCAGCTCCTTGTCCCCATCATGAGAAGACGTATTCAGCAGTGATGGGCGCCGCGATGGCGCTCTTTCGAATGGAGAGGCCATGGCAGAGGCGCAAGACTCATGAAATCCTGCTTGGTGTCTCGGATGGAGAAAAGGTTGGGGGAAACAATAAAGTGAGAAACCGGTAGTGAAAGAAAATGTCTCGAAAGTGAAGTTTTGGGTAAGTGCGGTGTGTATCCGTAGCTGCTTCTGACAACTTGCAGCTGGCTGCAGGGGAGGTGGTGGGTAGGGGACTTTACGTATTAGTTGACCGCCCGCCAGCACATCGTCACAGTTGTCACTTGTCCGTCGCGTCTGATCTGTGTACACAACACGCGTCATAAGGTGCATAATTGCGATCACGTGGGGATCAACAAATAGGGGATGCGCGGGGCATTTCGCCTGATCCCGCTTGGGCTGAGAGAAGCGCAGGCGCTACCGATTCAAGTGGGGTTCGGACGATACCATGTGGGGGCACGATCGTCACTCCCTCGTGCAATGCAACGTCCGCAGTCAAACGTCGTCCACTTACATCTAACCAACGCCTTTTTCTCCAAGAGCTTAATATTCTTCAATGGGCTTTCATGGGGAATCAACACAACTAGACATACCCAGTGATTTTCTGAGTACCTATCGTTATAATCAAATACACGAATATTTGCTGAGAAGAATACCCGGAAATCGGTCATGTCATCACTACAGAGAGGTAGGTGGTATGGGTTTTGACCAGAACATGGCATTAGAAGGGGCCGAAAAATAAGCCACCCACAGGAAAGGTGTTATCAGTCATTTCAAGCCTAGGACTGGTTATATAAGCACCAAAAAAGTCATCCAGACTGACAAAAGAGTTCACCCCGGTGCTGAACTGGGGCTACATCTCTTGGTGCTCATGCTGGGAAATTTTGGGTGCTCATGCTGGGAGTCGAACTTGGTACTCGTATGCGCTTAGCCTGTCGTCGAGTAGGCTGGTTGGCGATTTGATTGTTGACCATTAACCACTCCACCACCCAGCCAGTTTGACCTGACCCGTCGACCTAGACGGGCGCCTGCTGGCTGGTGACAGGAATGGGTTTGAGGGGGTATATCAAGGCTTCTCATGGCAGTTGTGGAAGGTAAACCTCAGGCCACCTGTCTCTTGCGATGAGAAGGAAAGAGCAGGAACGTCAGTACCGCCTCCTTCCTGCCAGGTGAGGCATCCAGAACACGGAGGTAGCGCACCTCATTCCATGACCACACCCAAATTACCTACTTAGGTCCCGTAACCTTGATTAGCGATAACAGGCACCCACCAACTTAGAGAGCCGTTCTGCGCCCCTTGGACACAAAGGTCATTTGTGAGAAGGCACTACAGTGGGAACAGATAATGTACCTTATTGACAGGTCGTTGAGTCTTGAGAACTGTGAAACCCGGGAACCTTGACACCGTCGGACTGGGGTCCATCAACAGTTAGATTGCCCACTTCTACGGAGTACATTGTCGGAGCCACATATGAGGACCCAGTTGCTCGGAACCGAGATGACAGGGCAAGGGACGCTAAGACATCTGTTTGGTTTGATTATCAGTATTACTGGCATATCCCCTCTATGCAGACCCAAATATTGTGCTAATGTTTGCTCACTTGAATCCACTCTGTAGATTCTGCCTCGCTTGCCCCTTCATCAGATGAACGACTCAGAGACGTTGCTTCGTACCTGATTGTATGTTCAGTCACCTGCTAACAGCCCTTGACGTTGCTATTTCTGCAACCTCTTTGGCTTCTTCCGCGTTGACCGCCACGTACCATGCTACCTGCTTCAGCCACCGAGCCGCAAAATGTTGTGGCAGCAGCAGTTGATGGCCACGGGAAGAGGAGAAGAGAGACGGCTCGGCCAGGCCACACATGCTTGTTTCCCACTCTTTTCAATGCAGCTGCTACAAATTCTGGACGCTGAGTGATTCACTCCTATGGCATATTAGGGTTTAAGGCCACCTGCGAAGGGTATCTCCGTTGGGTGAATGAGGTTTCTATAATAGAGGGAAACCGCATGACTGAATGAGCCCGCCATGCGAATGACTTACGAAAAACACTATATATTGGTATCAGATTTCCTTCCTTCAATACGATAGCCCCTCCATATAGAGACAAAGACGACTACCAAGAGAAGAAACCTTCCCAAGACGTGAGAGACTTTGGACCCGAAATACAATAAAAGAACATACAACACACAGAATGTCTCAATCAATACAGGACATACCGGTCGGGGAAATCCTCCCACTCGACCATGTGCTTCAGCTCGCAGACCGCTCCAAGTTGCTGGCGGCACGGGTACAAGAGTTCAAGAAAAGCGACGGTCCCAGGACGCCAGAGGAACTTAGGGTCTTGACCTCCACTATGGAAGATGTAGAGCAGATTTCACGGCCCTATACCATGGCTGTGCTAGACTGCATGCTCGGGGATATTTATGAGAACATCCTTCGGGGGCAAGACGGCACAAGGACGGGCTTTGATGAAGCGATGACGCAAATCACCCGCGTACTTCGACCTGCCCCCCTGGAGATGAATTCTGAACCCAACGATAGCACGCATACCTTCAGTCTCGAGGAGACTCCCGAGATTGTAGGGAGATTCCGGCGCCTCATCCTTAGTTTCGAGGACCTTGACAGGCTGGCCCACCAGCCCGTACATGTACGTACTTCACCACATTCTTGATTTTCAACCCCTTTTTACTTGTAATCAGTGGAGTGATGCTGATTTACCTTCGCACTAGGATACGCTGGCTCTCAGTGAGCGGCAGGTCGAGACCTGCGTAGAGGCTGGTCGCGTCAAGGTGCTCATGGGCTGCGTCTTTGACGCCATTGTCTCGTATACCCGCGGGCAACTGCCACCTAGGACATCTACTCACACCGTGGTAGTGACGGTGGTTCGATGCGAGGGTCTTCGGCGACACGAAGGCGAGGGCCCGCCTCTTCTGCGAAGACAAGATGCCACTGTTGGCCAAGGAAGCTTCGAACCACCCAGTTTGTTAAGACAAGATGTTACCGTTGGTCAAGGCGCTGTAGCGTCTTCTGGGCATTCGTCCCGGAATATACCTCGCCTGCGGAGGAGAGATGCCACTATTGGCCAACGCACGGAAGCCTTGACGTAAGCGAAAGAGGTTTACTCAAGCGGAAGGGTGCCAGTCTGCTCTACAAGATGACACTCTTAAGGAGGATCTTGAATGGAGTCAATGCCGTATGAGAAGCTCTGGGCAGCGGGGAAGTCCAGCCAGTAAGCTCGACCGGACATTTGGCAAAGTAGCTGCAGGTTGAACTTATAGTCAACGCCAAAAAAACCATTATCAGCAATGGGCGTTTTCAACAGCATGGTTTCGGACACGCCGTTTTGCCTTATTGACTCTCAATGTGAGGGGCCTAACCAAGAGAAGACTCACAGCTCAATAGCATGAGCAGACACTGATCTCGGAGGGTTAGTCGGTATCAGTGATCAATAAACAATTTCACCAGTGTCTCAATCATCTTCAACGTGAAATAGTCTTGACGACAGCCGTGAGTTTACTCGTTTATTAAATCGACTCCTACTCTCTTCAGAGACTCAACAGCCCACTCTGGATACTTTGACTTGTCATAGTCGTAAAGATCGCCGAAGAACTGCCTAATAAGGGCAGGGTACCTGTCTTCAATAACAGCTTGCCGTATATCCTTCATGAGGTTCAGCTGATACCAGACGTTGTGTATGCTCAGCAGATGAGCAGCGACCGTTTCCTTGCCCGCATTGTGGTTGATGAAGGCCCTAGTCACACCTAGACCACCCTCGCCCTTCCGGCAACAGATACAGCCGCATCCTTCCTCAATAGGGCCGTAGTCGTTCTCATATCGCCAGTTGCGAATGTTCAGTACGCCGTGCTTCGTGATTGCGTTGCCGAACCGGGCCGTCCGCGTCGGCCAGACACAGTCGAACATATCCGCTCCCAGGGCGACGCTCACAACCAAATCCTCGGGGTATCCGATACCCATGACATATCGAGGCTTGAGATCCGGCAGCAGCTCGGTACACGTCTCGACAACACGGCAGTAATCCGTCTTAGCCTCGCCACCACTTAGACCACCAATAGCAATGCCTGGGGTATCGCGCGCCAACATCTCCCGTGTGCACTCCCGTCGCATTTCAAGGTCGAGACCGCCCTGGATGATACAGAAGAGGTTCTGGGTCTTGGGATTCTTGTGCGCTGCGATGCACCGATCTAACCATCTTACACTTCGCTCCATGGCCTCGCGCATACGGGCTGCGTCGGGGGATGTCGTGACGAGCACGTCGTCAAGCTGCATCATGATATCGCTTCCAATAGAATTCTGCAGAGACATGGAGTGCTCTGGAGTCAAAAGCATGGGCGAACCGTCGTGGGGGCTGAGGAAGCGCACACCCTCCTCAGTGATTTTCGCCAGCTTGAGGAGACTGACCATTTGGAAGCTATAGACTTAGTCAGTAACTGGTGAAGACCTTCGCAATCCAGTCAAAAAGGTATATGTACCCTCCACTATCCGTCAAAAGATTGTGTTTCCATCCTTGGAGCTTGTGCGCGCCGCCGATCTTGTCCAGTACGTCTTGGCCGGGCTTTAGGCCGAGATGATAAGTGTTGTTCAGGCACAGGCGGCAGCCCGTCTCTTCAAGCTGCTCGGGAGTCAGGCCTTTGAGCGAAGCTTGTGTCGCGACAGGCATGAATATCGGAAGCTGGACCTGGCCGTGAGGAAGCGTCAGGATGGATGCGCGGGCTCTCGTTGTCTAGCCTAAACCGTTAACATGCGAACTAGGAATCACATGAAGATTGTGAGTCAAAGTACTGAGGCGGGGAATGCTTACTGAACAGCGAGCGACGAGCTCGAAGGTGAGAGCGGGCGAAGACCCGACATTGGTTGACGCCATCCTTTTCGCTATCCACATGAGCGAGCGCGCAGTCCACAGGCTGCTGGTTGCGATGTGGGAGGAAGGGGGAAAAGGGCTGAGTGCGGGTTGGCAAAATGCAATTCTCCAAATTCGAACCGCTAGACGATGCGCTTTCCCATCGGCGTTGGTGGGGCCGTTGAGTGTCACTCCTGCCGAATGTCCCTCTCGCTTTCAAACCCCGTCCTATGTACCTGACCTTAAGCTCACTTAAGATACCCGAGATAGCGTCTATGTGCCTCGCTAAGACCAGAAAAATTGCTGTTTGAATGCCTTTATCTATTTCAAAATTTGCAAATTGATGGAATATTTCAACTTCGCAAAGTTCCCACGCCGTCTCTACCACTTGAAGCCTCTGAGAATGAAGGCCCAGTGTCTCTGATCCCTTAATTGGTTTAGACTGTGCACCAGACATGGACATTTCGGGTGACAGTGGAGAGAAGCAGGAGAAACGACAGGGGTAGCTCTCACCCAATCAGGTACGCCGGCTTCTTCCGCACTCCAATTGAAATTTCTCACGCAACGGTGCACACTCGTCACCCATTCCGCGATACATACGACTGACGACGACCAAGCTCAGTAGAGAGCTTCGACAGCCGCCATGTCTGCCCGAATGTCGCCCGGAGGGGCGCTGCTGAGATCATCTCGGATGTTCTCTGTGCCCAAGCCGCTCCCTCAACCCGGAGGTCAAGCAGCTGCCATCGCTCGATACGCATCTCCGACGGCGACCGCGCCTTATCCCACGCACCAATCCATCACCACTACCGAATCCTCGAGGGCCCTTGGTGACTGGGGCTTCAAGCGCTCCCTGCCTCTTCGATCCACGACCAAGTCATCGACCCCCGTTGTCCGTATCAAGGACATTGACTGCTTCGAAAACGTCACCGATTATACCTCCGCCGCAGACCACACCTTGTCTCTTCAGAAGTTCCACGAGCTCAACCTGCCCGTCACACTACCTGGCACCAACCGGTCGCGTCTCGGTGGTATTCACATCGGAGCGAAATCTGTATTCGAAGAAGATGGCGACTTCACTACTGTCAAGCGTAACGGCGAAAACGAGGAGAAGAGGTGGAAGTTCCAGGGCCCCTGGTTGGCTGGCCTCACCGAGGGCGAATTCAACGCATACCTGCGCAAGGCCGTTCGCAACAAGCGAGCATCATTCCGCAACTTCCTGCGAAAGCGTATCGCATCCGATGAAACGAGCAAGCAGCGTCAGAAATCCCTGGAGGCTGGAGAGAATGCTCCCGCAGCTCTTCGTGCTGGCGACATAACGGAAGACCAACTCACAGAGTACATTCGCAAGTTGCGCAACGACCGCATCACCTTGTACTCACTTGTCGGCGAATTCTTGGACCTTGCTCCCCTGAACCCGCCCAGCTCGTTGACCGACTTCAGCAAGTCGACGGAGAAGACCAAGCGCCCTAGCTTGTACGCTGAGCATGGCCCGCCTGCTTCTCACCCCTCTGGTGGTATCTCCTACCTCCGTACATCCAACTTTGCCGAGAACCACCCAGTATACGGCCCCCAGGCGCAACATACCCCCGTACTGGCTCGCATCGTTGCCCCGAGATCAGGAGCCAACAGCGCCAAGCTGGGTGTCGGTGGTTTCATCACGGATGTTCCCCAGGGCGACACGGCTTTCAACCACAGGGCTTTCGTTGGGCGCAACAACAAGGTGGCTGGTGTTGTCACTTTCGACCCCGATATCAAGGGAGGCGCCAAGGCCTACGTTTCGCCTACGTCGGCTCGCATTGACTCGGACGGTTGTGTCCAAATCACCGTTGGTGAGGCCAATGAAGAGGCCCAGCTCATTCTGAAGGAATTGGTTGGAAAGGCGAAGATCTACAACGACAAGACTGAGGTAGAAGCACCCGCCCCCGCCCGCAGATTCATCCGAAATGTGCACACCAACAACCAAAGACCCGGAACCAGCGCGGTGGGTAGCTCCAAGAGCTACGGTCTCGACTCTTGAGTGTGGTCAAGATGTCGTTGGAAGCGGTTCTAGTCAAAAGACTAGGCGCGAATGAGCCTCGGACAGTAGAGCATGGGGTTATGTCACACTATGAAGAAACCATCTTTGTGTGGCATTCGCATTTGTGCCGAGTGTATTATGTATGGTATTGTAAAATAAGAAGAATACAACGCAAATTTCGACACTTTCTTGACTGTCTATGATCGCTAAGGAACGACCATACTACTAACCTACCTTAGCCAAGGTGAGGTACTTCAGCTTGGTGCAGCACCTTTTTGTACTTGGCCCGTCGGCGGGAATGGAGGCCAGAAAATGTCTTCAACTACCAAATCATGCTCTTCTGAGAATGGGAGCGCAGCCCTTCCAATTCGACGCATCGTGCATCCTTGGAAGGGCCCAGCAGTGAAGACTAGAGCGTCGTATTATATCGGCTCCGCACCAAAGAATGAGCCCGATCCAGATCCGAGTGGGGTCCCGGTTCCAGTCCCGTCCCAGCCATTCACAGGATCACGTGTGCTTACATACGCATGCCCCCATGGCCTGTGCACAGAACTTCCCGCGCCCCACACCACGGCCCTAAATTTCGTGTAAAGATATCAAAATTGCATCTGCCCGGCGAAACTTATCGTGAACATCTCGACCGACCAGCCTCACTAACCGACCAACTCCCTCCACCCAGCCAAATATCCCCCCTCCGTTGAGTCAGTACCGCCAAAATGGGTCGCGTTCGCACCAAGACCGTCAAGAAGTCCGCCAAGGTCATCATTGAGCGGTACTACCCCAGACTCACCCTGGACTTCGAGACCAACAAGCGCATCTGCGATGAGATCGCCATCATCGCCTCCAAGCGCCTCCGCAACAAGGTCAGCAAAAGACATCCACCCAGACGCAACACACGAGTTGGACGAACGAACGGCTCCGCGGAACCGCTTCTCCAAATCTCGGTGTTGGAAAATACGGAAAGGTCGAGAGGGCAAAATTGCTGACTAGAGTGAAATTACAGATTGCTGGCTACACCACCCACTTGATGAAGCGTATCCAGCGTGGTCCCGTCCGCGGTATCTCCTTCAAGCTTCAGGAGGAGGAGCGTGAGCGCAAGGATCAGTTCGTCCCCGAGGTCTCCGCCCTCGACTTCACCCAGAACACCGAGAGCGGCCAGCTCGAGGTCGACGTCGAGACCAAGGACCTTCTCAAGCACCTCGGCGTACGTCTTCACCTCTACTTGAATCCGATACGAAATCCTCCAATACTGACTATCCTGCCCTGCAGTTCGACGCTATCCCTGTCAACGTCACTCCCGTCGGCCAGACCCAGGTCCAGGAGCGCGGAGGCCGCTTCGGTGGCCGCCCCCCTCGCCGCGACTAAATTTCAGTCGTGGTCGATTGTGGATAAGGAAAATTGGGTGGTTTTTAACGGACTTTTACGGCAAACGGCATATGATGATACACATTGCTACAGGCGTCTTACGGACGGTAGTGAGTTCACACTAGGAACTTCCACAAAGAAAAGTTCTGTTTTCCCACACAAGGTGTCGCCGATTCTCTAGGGTAATTCCGGAGATGACGCTTGACTGCCAATCTTCTATCCCTCTCTTGCGTACCGTGATGCTGTCCCTCTGACCTTGTAGCTTAACTGAGCCTCCCGTTGAAATGCAGCTAGTTTATGTAACTAGGCCTGCTTTGCATAAAGTGACTTGATTGTCGAATCGGTATGCCTTTGGGTATCAAATCTATCTATATAGTGCAACCGATCACTGCGACGCTCAAATGAGCTCCTCCACGCTCCAATTATTTCTGGTATCCTTCCGCCCGTAGAACTACATCATGACATTTCTTGGTCACGTTGTGCCTCGAATTGGGAAGCCTCAGCAATGGCCTGCGCCTTGCCAGCTCCCGGTCTGTGTCCCTCAACAAATAAATGGGAGTCGTCTGGATCTTCAAACACACCATGCTCTGTTGGTGGCTTGACCTCCCTCTCCCTGATGGCAAGAGTGAAAGTATTACCAGGCTGTCCCGTCTCCCGCGTCTCTCCTCTCTCCAAGGCCAATGTGGCAGACTCGTCGGCCGCCCTCCGGCCCTCCTCCAGTTTCAAGCTTGCGAGGTCGCGCGAAGCCTGTGATGCGGGATCCTCCTGCCTCGCCTTCTCCTCCCCATACAGCTCAATCTCAATATCCGGCAATCCCGCCCGTTCCCACGCAGCCGACTCGTTCAGCTGCACCTTGATATACATGGCCCTGCGCTGGCAGTCCTTGGAGCACCACTTCTCCGACTCCTTGCGATTGACGATATCAAAGTCTGCCTTGCCAAAGTTGACGAGCCTCCACTCGCCACCCTTTGATGCCATCGGCTTCGGCTGCGCGCAGAGCGTGTACCCGCACAAGCCGTTGACGTTGCGCTCCTCGATGAGGTCGTCGTAGTCGGAGGGCTGGAAGAGGCGGATGCCGGCCTTGAAGTCGGCGACGTCGCGCGGGGAAGGGTTGGCGGCGGAGAAGGTTCTGCTGCCGCGCTCGGTGGGGTACTCGGAGAGCTCGGCCAGGCTCTCGAGGATCTGGAGCTCGAGGTCCTTGCGCTGCTGGATGATGCGGGCGTGCTGGAGGGCGATTTCGCGGGGGTCTTGTTTTCGGGGATTGAGGACGGCGTTGGCGGCGCCGCTGCCGGAGGCGGTGGCTCCGGCTGCTGCCTTTTTGAGGATGCCCTTCAGTGGCCGGGCATCGGTAGCCATGGTGGATGTTGTTGTGTACGTGAGGTGGTTGTGGGAGGGGTTCGTCTAGCTGGTGTGCGGCGCGTCGTCTTATGTCTCCCCTGTAGGAGCTTCGAGCTCGGCGATGGAAGGTGAAAGAGCCTTTGAAAAAGGACTATACGGTGCGCGGAGGGAAAATGTTGTCGTGGCTACGCGTGTGAGACAGGCTGGAATTAAGATACGATGTGTGGTGGTGAGTGCAGATTGAAGGCGTACACAAGTGAAAATTGTTAAGCAATTGGAGAATGTTCGATTCCGCAAGTGTTGCTGTCGGGAATACACACCCCACACTTTGCAGCAAGAGCACTCCCAATCGAGAATTTGGTGTTAGGCATGGAAGCACGCAACAACCTACCTAAGCTGAAGCAAAGCACCAGCGCCGGAGGACGTACCTCCTGGCACCACCCGGCTGCCGCCACGATGGAGGGGGGTAACAGTCAACAGCCGCCAAGACTTTTACACTCAGGCACATTGGTGTGACGGGTTGACCAGGCGCTTTGCTGGCGAGAGTGTGGCTCGGGGTGCTCGGGTGGCTTGAGCGGCCGTAACTCCGTCCCTCCGCTTCCAAGTTCCCCCTCCATTTCCATCTGCTCCCCCATGTCCGCGGCCCTCTTGACCCCTCGACTTGACTTCTGGGAGGGATTTCGATTGGCTGAAGCGGCTGAAGAAACGTAGCGCATCTTCCGTCCGCTCTCACACCTCCAACGCTGACCTGGAACTGGACTTGGTTTGGCTGTTTGACCTCGTGTTAACACCGGGCTTGCCCTGCGCCACGATCGAGTGACCTGCTCAAGCTCCTTCAGGTCATCTCGTAATGCACTACTATTGTTCCATTACACCATGTCGTGGGACCGTCCAATGCCTGGGACTGGCTTTGCTGGCTTACCTCAACTTGACCTCACACTGCAGTTGCCATGAAGGTTAGGTGCCTAACCTAGCTGTTCCTTTACATTGATCTGCTTCTCTACGGAACCCTCTCTAGCCAACCACAAGCTGCGTGAAGCACCAGCTGGCCGAGCCACATGCGCCTGATCTATATTGGCCCTGCCGTTGTTCCCGTTCGCTGCTGTTGAGTATCGATATTGCTCAGGTATTCCGACCTCCACAAGGGCATAGCCCGGGGTGTAGCATTGTGAAGTGTTGCAGCTAACGGTGATGGACTCCCAGCTCTTATAGAATTCTATGAGAAGTCCGGCCGAAGCGCAGAATGCAGACGCAGGCGACAAATGACATGCGATAGACTTCTCTGCCCGTTCTTTGGATGACCGTTATGGTGAACCCCTGCCCTTAGCACCCCATCGCATCGCCTCCTATTTGACACTGAATATGAATTGGTGAAGCAAAGGACAGTCCAATTCAACAGCGACGAAACAGATCAGAACACAGTGGCCATCCACGTAGAGGAGGAAATGAATACCAAACATGATACCTATCCACAACGTGTACTGAAATCCAGGGTTGCAGTGTGTCTAGGCAGACGCATCCTACCCGAAGAGCCCATCTCACCCGCATAGCGCATTGCGGCTCCAGAGTACCCAATATGCACCACATACAACCCCCAAAACTTAGCTCACCTTAGGTACGACACACCAAGGTTAAGATGGACAAAGAGACACCTGGACAGGAAAAGAGAATGCATTTGTCAACGGGGTGTCTGAGGCTGCATACATGACTCTTGTGTTTGCATAGCGTAGACTTCCCAGGCAGGGCCCCCAATTGCCCCGACACATTGAACTAAGAGAGTTACAAGTTCATGCGCTGACGTCGACACGCCAACTTGTAGATCCCTCCACCCCCGTCCGTCCCTTCCTCACAGCCTCCTTCTCCGACTGCCCACCCCCCCTTCCTCCCCAAGTGCCCCCTCGCTGAGTTTGAGAAATCGCCAGCGCAGTCGCAACGCAACCCGCTCAACCACACACACACACCGTCATCATCCACCTTTGTCGATTGTTTTTCCACCCTTACGGGCTCTTACTTCGCACATCGCAGTTCGTTGTTGATGTTGCTTCCGCCCCGAATCTGGCCTTTCTTGTCTTTTCGCTTCTGGTCGTAGCTACTATCACTGCGTACCTTACTGCTACTACTGCTGCAACCAACAGCCCACGCAAGGTCCAAGCTGCTGACGACGTTCCGATTCCGTTGCCCCACACCCTAGAGCTCCAGCGTCGCTCGCTCTGACCTGCGGCACCCAACTCCTCTTTCGATCGTCCAGGTGTTGGCATCCCACAAACACACCGACAACAAGCCAAACCGACGACAACGACGATATCGACGAAGACGACGGACTATCCCGACCACTGCCGGCCATGTCGACCGCCCCTTTCAGGGTCAAGGCCCTGTTCGAATACTCCTCGCCCCACGAGGATGACCTCCAGTTCCCCGCCGGCGTCATCATCACCGTGACCGACGAGGAGGATGCTGACTGGTACACTGGCGAGTATGTCGACGACTCTGGCGCCAAGCACGAAGGAATCTTTCCTCGCAATTTCGTCGAGAAATTCGAACCCCAGGCCCCGCCTCGCCCAACGAGAACCCGAACCAAGAAAGAGGCCGAGGTCACGTCCCCCATCTCGGAGGCGCCCGCCCCAGTTCCTCAATCCGAGCCTCAACCCACCCAAGAAGCTCACGCCGAGGTCGAGAAACCTGCGCCGCCCCCGGCCGCTGCCGTGCCTGCCTCGCCCGAAGCACCCGCAGCTCCCGAGTCCGAGCCTGTAAAGGCACCTGAGCCAATCCCCGAACCGACACCGGTTGCTCCGGCTCCCAGAACTGAGTCCCCCGCAGCTACGTCGCCTCCCATCGCCAAGGCAGCGCCTGCTTCATCCAAGCCCGGCCCGCCGCCTAAGCCGTCCAGCAATGCCTTCAAGGATCGCATTGCTGCATTCAACAAAGCCTCGGCCGCTCCTATTACGCCCTTTAAGCCGAGCGGGCTGGCCCAAGGTTCCTATCACATCAAGAAACCGTTTGTGGCTCCTCCTCCTAGCCGCAATGCATATGTCCCCCCGCCTACCCAGGCACCGGTGGCAAAGGTCTACCGAAGAGACGAGGATCCGGAAATTCTGGAAAGAGAGGCAGAGGCCCAGGAGAACGCTGAGAAGGCCGGCATGGTTCCTGGTCCCTCTGGTGAAGAGGGCGAGGATGCGCCAAAGCCGACCACCTTGAAGGAGCGCATTGCTCTTCTTCAGAGACAACAACAGGAACAAGCACAGCGTAACGCCGAGGCTGCTGCCAAGAAGAAGGCTGCACGACCTCCACCTAAGAAGCGCACCGACAGCCAGGAGGCTTCTGAGGATGCCGGCGCTGCTCCTGCCCCTGCACCCGAGGGCGATGCGGAGGAGGTGGCCGGCCGGAGCTCGATCGATTCAGCTCGTGTGCCGCCCGCGCCCCGGCGCAAGCCCTCCAAGGGCCCTGCTGCCGAGAGCTACCATGACGGCAATGAAGCGGACATGTCTGGGGCTGGCGACACCACCGAAGGTCCTGAGGATCTCACCGAACGCGACGATAGTGATGCGGCTCCACGGCCTGTCCCGCGGCCCCAAGTCGCTTCTCCTATCGAAGCAAGACAAGAGGAGGATGCAGCTGATGAGCAGGGCGGGGATGAGGAAGAAGAGGAGGACGATATCGACCCTGAGGTTCGCAGGAAGGAGGAGCTCAGAGCCAGGATGGCGAAAATGAGCGGCGGCATGGGAATGCACGGCATGTTTGGAATTCCAATGGCTGCTCCAGCTATTCCCAAGAAGAAGAAGACAATCGAGAAGCCAGTGGAGGCATCGCCGACGGAGGAGCACGAAGAGGAGACATCGCCTACAAGCCGTGTCGCCGTACCGGGCATGATGGCATTGCCAGGACTGAGCGCACCCAAACGTCAAGAAGAGGCTACTGAGCCTGAGCCGCCAACATCCCCTAGAGCACCACCTCCGCCTCCACGAAATATTGAAGTCGACGACGACAGAGACGAGTCAATCACGAGCCCACCTCCCAGTCGTGAGTCAAAGACGGTTGTTATCTTAGTTACCTTTGCTAATTTGCGAAAGTCCCTGCCCGTGAGCCTGCAGGAGCTCCTCCTGTTCCAGGATCCCGGCCCGCGGCGCCGCCCGTTCCCAGCGAATGTAAGTTGTTGACCATGTGTCAGTCCATTTCAAGACAATGGCTCATAGTGCTCCAGCTCGACCCCCTGCTTCCGGGCTCAAATCTCCCAGTGATGGCTCGGTGTCCGACGATGAGCTATCAGGAGGTGTCCTAGACACTCCCAAGGCCGAAGAAGCGCGAGCACCCCCGCCACTGCCGCCCGTTGCGACCGCCGCACGCTCGCCACCTCCCATTCCCGGCTCCGAATTCTCACCAACATCTCCCACCAGCTCCTCGGGCAAGCGGATGAGCAGAATTCCGCCTCCTATCCCTGGAGCTGCTCCTCCTATCCCTACAGCACAATCGCGACCGCCTCCCCCACCACCTCCAGGCGGTAGTCTGAGCCGTCAGTCGACGCAGGATATGCACGTCGCATCACCCATATCACCACCGATCAGACCTCCTCAACAGGGTGACGATGAGGACGAGGCTACAGAGTATGAGGGAGATTACGATACTGACATTGCGTCGTCTGTTCCCCACAAAGACGCACTCAAATCTCACGCCAGGGATTCGAGTCTCGACGACAACACGCCAGTCAGATCACCCACATCCCCAGCCCTACCACCAACCATGCCGCCACCTATCCCAACTGGCCCGCCGCCTAGAGCTGCTCCGCCACCGGTGCCGACGGCTGATAAGCGTCGCTCTGTGGATGTACCGCGAACAGCTCCTCCTCCCCCTCCGCCAGCAAGGGACGATGACGAGTACGACCCCTATAACTACTCCACCCAAAAGCTACCGTACTCTCAGCGAACCCCGAAGATTGAAGAGGAGGGATACTTCCAGGATGATGCTCCGCCATTGCCATCGCCTTCTCACACGAGAGCCCCGCCTCCCGCCCCTCCCGCTGGCCG